AGGGGGAGAGAGAGAAGAGGGGGAAAAGAGGGGGAGAGAGAGAAGAGGGGAGAGAGAGAAGAGGGGGAGAGAGAGAAGAGGGGGAGAGAGAGAAGAGGGGAGGGGTGAGATAGAGGGGAGGGGAGAGAGAGAGGGGGGAAGGGAAGAAGAGAAGCACAAAAAGTAAAGCAATGAGATTTAAAGTACATGTACATGTAGATGTACATTAAAGAGACAGAAATACAATAATTATAACAGAAACATGTACATGTACATGTACATCACAATAAAATCAATGTGTATTGTATCTACATTGTACATGTACTTGTACATGTATATACTTGTACTATACTAACGAGACAAATGAGAGTAAATAATAAGTAATGATAATATGAAAGTGTACACACTAACTAGTTCTTATATTTGACTAGATACTCCTCAATAAACTCTCCTTGTTTCTTTGCTCCATCATCACTAGCACCAGTGCCAGTATTAGTGTTTGGTCTCATTCGATGTGATAATATCTTCTCAACAACATTAGCCTCTTCTGCTGGAGCATCCTAAATACATGCATTAATAAAATTATTATTATGTACATGTATTTACATTACATGTATATTTTTCTACCCAAACTTGATGCTCGTAAAATAATACATTGTAGATAGTGATAATTATTGATAACGAGAATGCATAACATGTACATGTACATCAGGCTCAAAATTACTTGGGCCAAAAAAACCCAATACTTACAGGGTATTTCAACAAAAATTACAAGGAGAGATTTCTCCATTTTAATAATTTTTTCTGATAAATGTACATATACATGCCCATATGTTGTGTATCAACTTCGAGCTGATTCCAATCAAAATTATATTTTTAATGAATTTCTAAAGTTGCTCGAAATGCCATGTACTGTATTGTAGTGCTTTTCAGCTCACAAAGCTCATGCTGTTTAGCTCACTTAGTATGCTTTGTGGGAAACCCTGATGTACGTAATATGAAGATGTACATGTACATGTACATGTAATTATTAATAACCAAAGCAAAGTTACAGTTTAATGAATTATATGATAATTACATAATAATAATACTTACCACATAAATATCAGAATATTGAAATCCTTCAGTCGGATTGATAGTAATACTCTTCTTGTATCTTGAAGACTTTCCTCCTTTCATTCCCCCCACCATTAGACCCTCATCATAATCACTCTCATCGTCCGGTGGTCCAGTGTACCCATAGAACCCGGTCTTCCTCGGCGGAGGTTGCATGATGTCGTCCAGTGTCTCCTCATCACTGATACTCACGTCATCAACGTAATGCTTCCTCTGGCCTTTGATACGCTGAGACCGACGACGCTAATAAATACATGTACATGCAAATGTAATTAAATAAACAAATAAATAAGTAAATAATAATTTAAAAGACACATAAATGTACATGTAAATGTACATGTACATGCATGTAACCAGCCCATAGTAATTGGTAATTTAAAATACACATACATGTATATGTACATGTACATGCTAACATCAAAAAAATTACAGATACATGTACATGTACATGTACATTTACATGCATATACTTAATCATTACAATAAGGACAAAAAATGATTAAAAAAGCTAAAAGCCATCTACAGTACAACAACAAATACATGTAAATTAGGATGTACATGTACATGCATACATAAATATTTAAAATGTATTCAAACTTTAGAATGTTAATGGGTATAAACAAGTACATGTAAAAAGGTGTAAATTAGCAATAAATGTTCCTACATGTAATGTAAATGTAAATGTACACAGTACATGTACATGTGTACATGTACTGTGTACATGTACATGTATTCTTACAGTGGAGGAGTCATCAGGAGTGTCCCCATCAGACACATCAGGAGTGCCTGATCCAAAGGACTCGTCTTCACTATCAGCATTGTGCATAGCACGGGATAACCTTTTGGATGGGATTGGAGTCTTACGCTTACGAGAAGAGGGTCTTCTGAGGGAGAGGGAGAGAGGAGAGAAAAATATAGATTGAACAGCAGTGAAAGAAGTGTTTTTAGGAAAAAGCATGGGCTATTATGTCCAATCGTGTTTTGAGAAATTGGCATACTTTTAAAAAATGGGTATACCTCTAAAATTTTTAGTCAGAATCAGCTCAAACTTTCTACACAGCAAAGGATGTATCATATAATGTAATAAAAAAATTGGGGGTGATTTTGAAGCCATTTTTCAGATTAAATCATGGGTATAGTACAGAGTATTTTTCAAAAAATTGCACACTTTACAGTACAGCCATAACTCAAAAACTCTTAGTCTGAATCACCTCAAACTTTCTACACAGCATAAGGGGACTAACATGCATCAGAAAATGTACATGTGGTACATTCATATGTGTACTTCACATGTACTGTACATGCAGAAAGCTATAACTATTGTTTTATTTGTTTATATTAATCGTAAATACATCAAGGGACATCCCTTGATAATACATCAAGGTAAATCATACATCCCATCCAAAAATTTTAATTCAAACTTATCTTAAGACATACTGGTATGCATGGCAGTGATGGTGTCACTTATATGCATTCATTTTTGAAAAGTCTATCGTGGGTTGCAGCTTTTGTTATAATATTCATAGCTTTGTGGTTACACAATACAACTCCTAATGTATAAGAAATGCATACCTTAAGGAGACAATTATTAGCGTGTACTTATTTTAGCGATTTTCATGATACTGACATTTGGCTGGTACTTAATTTAGCGTTTTTGATCATTTGGTATTAATAACTTCTAGAAGAATTAAAGGGGTGAGCCTAAGCAAGCTATAGATTATGTGCTGTGATCTACATGTCTGAGCTAGCAAAGCAATTGCACAAGTCTAAATACAGCAGATCTTGTTGCATTAATCTTGCTGAAATTGCTTCATCAGTCATCACTGGCTCAGCAGCCATTAAAGTTATCTTGCTTACAGTTAGAAGCAGTCACTGAACGAAGAAGATTGTCATCTGCTTTGTTAACCTAGGCTAACTGCTAGAGAAGTCTTTGGACAGTAGTTTAGTATTATCTTGCTGACCGTTTGCTGCAAGTAAGCTCAGACTTGCTGACGGCCGCCATTTTATTCATTGTGACCACACCCACTTTTAATGAAGAAATTAAAATTAGCGCGGACTTAAGTTAGCGATTTTTTAAAATCGCTAAAATTCGCTAAATTAAATACCCGCAAACAATTGTCTCCTTAAGGTATATACATTACATGTACATGACTACATGCATGCATGTAGACAATGTAAGATGTACAAGTACATGTACATATACAGTACATGTACATGTACGTGTATATTACATGTACATGTACATGTGATAATTGTAGTACTCACTTCCCTATCCTTCCTATTGGAGTAAAACTCTTTAAAGTACTTGATTTCGGTCGAGATGATCCCGAGACCTTCTTTGGAAGAACCTTCAGCAACTTAAACAGAGTCCTTGGAGAATCAGGTACTTCAGGAGCATACGATAGTCTCTCGGACGGAATAGTAACGACATACTCGGGTAACTGTCGCGGTAGAGAAGGGACAGTAGGGTTGTATATACAGTAGGTGTGGTCAGATAGGAAGGACGGTAACTCGAGAGGTACCACAGGCTGACCAACGTCAAGTGGCTCTTCTTTTATCTCAACATCGTCCAAGTCGACGTCCAAAGGTGTTAAATTAGAGGGCGGGGCCATGTGAAGCGACAGGTCTGGAATTGGAGAGGTATTCGTGGGTGTGGTGGTAGTTTTGGGCGGAGTCGATACAATGCTCGCTTCTCCTTTTTGAGTGTTAGATTGAGACTGGATGGGGACCGCCCCCGGGCTAATGAGTAATTTAGTAGAAGACGGGGGCGTGGTCTTGACACCATGGGATGCAGCGGAGGTTGGGGGTTGCTCCTTTGCTGTGACGACTGCCGGAGAAGAGAGAGAGGGGGAGACTGACGACACGTTTTTAAGAGAAGAATTAGACCCAATGACCTGAGCAAGGACAGGCTTACGCTGCAACTGAGAAGTGGGCGTGGTGGCACTGAGGGTGGACGACGGTACGCTGGTCGTACCAATAGACAGGGTCACTGGTGGAACACTGGACGGAGCCTGTGCTGTGGATTTAACAGGAGACAAGAGAGTAGACCCAGTGACTGTGGTAGCAGTAGTAGAGGGTAATAATGATGATTTCATTGATTGGAGGATGATATTGTTTTGTATGATACTCTTGATGCTCTCTTGAACGTGTGAGAGGTGGGGTAGGTTTGACTGTAGGAATGCCAACAATTGTAAATCATTCTTACTAAGAGGAGTATTACTGGTACTAGGGACTCCACTAGATGTTGGTGTAGTACTAGTAGAACTAGTCCTGATACTTTTCGGTGTTACGAGAGTCACCGAGGAACCTCCTTGACTGGGCTTTACTCCGCTAGAAACGAGTAAAGAACTGGTCTGACCAGTTTTCCCGATTTGAGTCTTTGGAGTATTGGAGAGAGGAGGAGTGTTGGTTCCTGTTCCAGGAGGAGATGATGATGATGAACTCATTGCAATCATGTGAGGTAGTATATCAGCTAATGTGATATTAGTAGTACTGGGTAGGGAGCCCTTTGCTCCAGTCACTGGTAATGATACCTTCTTCACTAGAGGAGTAGCCCCCACTGTCTTAGCCACTTTGATAGGCAGAGCTGGTTTTGGACTCACAGTGGTAGCAGTGACTCCTCCAGCAGTACCAACAGGCTTCACTGATGTGATAGGAGTCAATATGGCCGACACTACTTGTCCTCCTACGCTAGTAACAGGGGCTACCTTGCCTGGTTGTGTATGAATAGGAACTGGACCCTGTGTTACTAATAAATGAGTGTTATTAGTATTAGGAGTAGTGGATTGGAGTACAGCAGGTCCGGCTATTAAAGGAGTGGATCCCACATTAAGAGAAACTGAAGGTTTAGTCACATTAGCCTGTGGATTATTGAGGACTGGAGACACAGAGCTAGTAGGGGCATCACCTAATCCTTCAAGAGCTGTACCAACAGACTGTGGTAGCGAATGAGCTATTGAAGATATAATTGGAGCTGATGTTAGGAGTGGCTCTGATGCTGGAGTAGAACCATTAACAGATACTGTATGTACATCAATTGAAGGAGGCTGTGATTGAGGAGTGAGTGGAGTAGAGAGAGAAGGAACTTGTGATTGTGTGGACGAGAGAGAAGGAGTGTCCTCATTAATAATAACATTAGAATTAATACTTGAAGTTATGTTCACATTATCAGTAGAAGGAGCAGTCCCTATACTACTAGAAGTACTGGTGTCTCCACTCATCAGGGCCTGGGTGAGAGGGAAAGAGGGTACAGTGAAGGTTGGACCGGTCTCTGTCTTAGAGGATAAAGGATCACTGGTAGTATCAGTGTTTGACTGAGAAGAAGTATCATCATTGATACTGGACACACTAGCATCGGCCATTGTCCACAAGTCTAAATGAAGGAAAAAGAACAAAATAATCTTCTGTACATGTACGTGTACAATTGTAAGTGTGCATGTTAAGGCATAAGTTTTTTGAGGGTACATGTATTTTGTGGTTGGATTTCAAGGATGTTAATTTTATGATTTCTTGCATACCATACCAATAGACATGATTAAATGATTGATATAGCACAAACCTGTGTACATGTACATGTATATTTTAGATGTACATGTACAAGTATGTGTACTTTTGGCAAGATTTTAACAACACAGTATTAGCAATAGCATGGATCCTTTCATTGTGCAGTAATAGTTTCCTTTGTATCTATTATCATACAATGTACACGTACATGAAATTACATTGCAAATCCACATGACCAATAAAAACAATTAAACAATTGGTACAATTGGCAGGAGAGAAAACTAAAAATGTTATTTTTTTAAATACTATTGTACAACAAATAACAAAATAACAAATAAAAACAATAATTGATAACAAAAATATTATTGTACATGTATGTGTATACTTTTGGCAGTGTAGAAAAAAAAGTTAATTGTTGCCAATAGAAAACCACATTAATTAATTATGGAAGTAAAAATTAAATAGTTCATGAGCAGGAATGACATCAAAATTTTTAGAGCATAGCAATGTGTGCAGGTATATGTACATGTACATACAAAAATGTAATCAAATCCTTTAATTAGTGCATACCCTTTGTACATACCTACACATGTACATGTACATGTACATACGCATATAATCAAAGTGTACAAACATTAGAGAAACAAAAATTTAAATGGTTTCAGAATTAAGAGGAATCATGTACACGTACATGCACATTAAAATCATAATACATGTACATTCTATAACATAGCTTATCCCTATGTACAAACATGACTGCTTGGATATTAGTGAAATACATACTACACATGTACATGTGCGTGTACATGTACATACCAATTATCAGTACAATCATTATAATTTAATTCATAAATAATAATTATTTATTTAGCTAGTGACTAAATCATATTAAATTGATTCGCTACAAAAATAACTACATGACAGGGTAAATATCTCAAAAATAAATACATAATCAAGAAAAGTACATGTACTGTAGGAATGTACATTTAACCATCAAAACAATTACATGTACATGTAAATCAATGTACATGTACATGTACACGTATAATTATACCTCAGTTTTTAGCTAATGACAGATGCAATGTACATGTATAAGACATAAAAGCTTGCCCAACAAATTGTAGCAAGACACCTCCAAATGCTGCATTATCATATGATCATTCACAGCCCATCTCAGTAGTACATGTACAATGAACATGTACGGCATGTATTATTATACAATTTCCATTAATAATCACATTTATAAAATAGGGCATTAAATGCAAAGTACAGTAAATGAATAGGAACAAATTACAAGTATTACATATCTACTACATGTGTCACCAGTATCAGAACTCAAGCCGAATTGTATTTTTTAACTTAAAAATACTATAGCAACTTTTGAGACAAAAACTGTGCAGAATAATTCCTATAATTTATATTTGAGAGTATTTCTGAGGTTTGGGGGGTTTATTTGCCTTAGGCATGGTTTAAAATGCTCTGGGACAGGCTAGGAGTGTTTTCCGCCATTTTGACTGAAAGCCATCTTTCCTCGGGCCATAAAGGTCAAAAACGGGCAAGGGGACAAAAACTCTATCCAAAGGACTAGAAAACAGCTTAAAAGGACCTTATACATCAAGCATGGACGACAATACAAAACAGATAGCACGTTGAATGGATCGTGGACTCACCCCACTAACACAATGGAGGACAGTAGATAGGACAGACCAGATATGCTCAGGAGAATCACTCTCTCACAGCCGCGTGCCGCTGTAGATCACGTGATCTTGCGGTGTTATCCTGAGTTATACGAAAGTTAATTATTAACAGTTATTAAATTTAGATCTGTTGCTAAATGTACCAAATTAAATTGTGTGACAAGCATCATTGAAGTCAAATTTTTTCCTCAAGATTTTTTTAAATAGTTTCCTTTATTATGCTTTACATTATTAAAATCAATTCTAGTAGCTAGCACTAGCTACATTCTATAATTTGATGTAATCATGTACAAAGATCAAAGGAAAGCAAAAGAATTCAAGTTAGCAATAGATTTTTTAGTACAAAAAACCTAGCTCTGGCAAAAGAATCATGAATGCATACACCTATATACACTGCCACAGAATCATTTGTGGATGGACAAATGACTATTTTAGGCGGTCTGCATGATGTAGTGTAACTTGCTATTAATAACTTAACCTCACAATTTCCAGAAGCAAACCTGATCATAATTAGCTGTATCATAATTACTAAACTGAACAATAATTATTACAAAGCTATTAGTAATTTAATTATTGTGAATAATATACACTATTGGTAGTGGTTTGTGTGGCTGTTCTTTTCTGTGTCTATCAATCAGTGTCTTCCTATGATCTTTCAGAGTATCTGATAGGAGAGAAGTAGTGTCTCCAGGATTAAACTGAAGATATTCAAGTGATGGATGGATGAAGACAGTTTCATATAAATGTTTTACTTTGTCTATCCAGTTAGATTGAGATAAGTTATCATCGCTATTATCGTACTCTATCCTAAGTAGTTTAATGGTTGCATGAGATGTTAACATGGTACTAACAGCAGGAAGTAACAGTTCATAAAAAAACGGTGTTATTGCTGTAGCTTCCTCCTCTTTTTCATCACTACAATTACCACATGACTGATCTAATTTGAGGTTCATTTTCAATTCTGTGAGATTGTTCTTTTGGGAGATGACATCAATAAAAGTTTGTATCTCTTTAAGTGCAGGAATGGGTATACTCAACTGCTGTAGACTGTTGTTATGTCTGAGACCAGTTGTAAGAAATGACAAGAATGAACTGGGAATGTCACTAGATATGTCATCATTAATCTCAAGGTGTTTGAGTGCATAGTTTTGTGTTAGCATGTTTTGTAGGCTAGTACCCATACTTCTGGTATATACCTTGTCTTCCTCCTCCAGCTCTAGTTCCTCTTCCTCTTCCTGAAATGCCTCCTTTTCCTCTTCCACCTCCTCTTCCCCCTCTTCGTCCACCTCTTCTACCTCCCCCTCCCAATCTTCCATCTCTTCCTCCTCCTCCTCCTCTCCCACATACTCCTTTGAGTCCCTCTCTTCAACATTCTCTTCCTCCCCCTCCTCCCCCTCTTCTTCCCCTTCTTCCACCTCTAGCTCTTCCTCCCCTTCTTCCTCCTCCCATTCCCACGATATTTCCTTTATATCTATACTCAGAGCTTTAAGTGTATTATTGGTTTGTAGAATAGTAAACAGTTCAACAGCACTCTCAGCTGTGGCCAGTGGTAAAGCAAGCGTATGTAGACTGGGATGAGAGAGAAACAGAAGATGTGGTGGGTACGACTCATGCAGTATCAGACAGTGTAATCCTTTGATATGTGGAAGGAGTGATGATGTCATCAGTTCACTATTCAATAAATCTTCTTCTATCTCTAAAGCAGTCAGTGGAGTGTTCACCTCTACTATATTCAGTGATGATGGTAGGAGTTCATTAGGTATGCCCAGTGAAAGGGATTGTAATGTGTTGTTGTCCTTTAGTAACTGCTCTATTACTCCATCAGGTAGAGGATAGGGAGTAGAAGTATCACCAGCTAAATCTGGATCTAGTATATCAGAGGAAACATGTATTGATAATGATGTTATTGTTTTATTTCTTGTTACTCCTCTAATGACACTGATAATAATATTTGTTATTACCATCACTCTAAAATACTGAATCTTCAATTCTTTTAGAGTTGAATTCATTACTACACATTTCTCAAGTTCAGTGCACTTGTCTGAGTAACATGTATTATTAACTGCTTGTATAGTAGGACCAGTCATTTTTAAGTGCAGTATCTTCAAATGAGGAAGATTTAGAAACTGTAACAATGCAAGACAGGGAAAATAGTGACTGAATTGTGATAATTCACAGTAGCACTCGTGAATATTGTGTAAAAGTACTGGTTGTAATAATTTTTGTATTAACAATTCATCAGTAAGTTTATGCAAAACTACCTCCATTCTCTTACATTTGGTCTGTAGTGAGTTATTGGTTAGTCCAGCTGTGAAGATTGATAGTTGCTGATCATGTAGATCTAGGTGCAAGTGATTCCATGTTGTGTTGGAATTGTTTATGCAAAAACTGAGACAGAACCAGTCGAACAATGATAATGATACTATAAACTCAAGCAAACACAGTGAGTTGTTGTTCATGGATTGTGCTAATACTTGACATAATGTTGTGTTCTGTGATTCATACAGGAGTTGAAGAAGAAGAATGGGAACATTGTCCAAAGCATCTGAACTGACATGATCATATTGATCAATTTCGGGATTGTGGTAGAAATAAGAGAGACAACAAGTCTCAAATCCAGACAATTTTTCTTTCTTACACTGTAAGTCAAGTTGTTTACTGAAATACTGTTGATAGCTCTCATGTTCAAGGTGAGTTAGACCGGCCACAAACCTCAAACACATTCGAAAGTGATCATTATAAAATTGATTATTAAACACTTCCTCTGTATTTTTCTCATGCTTAGCTATCCACCATGCAGCTAGAAACTCCTGTATACTTAAGTGAAGGAACTGATACTTCTCCTCATCAAACTCTGGGAATGTTGTCATCAATCCAAGATAGTCTTCCATGACTACCTCATTCATTGACTGTAGTTGAAGTGAAGAGAATGTCATTATTGTATTAGCCAGGTTAGTATAAGCTAATTGACACATCTTTTTGTAAGGATTAGCTAATTGCAATGGTAATGAAGAAAGACTAGTTAAAGTACGTGGGTTAATGTCATGCCTTTTAACATGCCTTCTGATAGTTTGTAGAATAAAGTTCTCATACAGTTCAGTGAGTGTTGTTGGTAAGTGTCCTCCTTCCTTACAGTAAACTAAGATGACCATGGAACAGACTAGTGGTATATAACACAATGATTGGGCATCCTCTCGTACCTTAAGATCATTAATGAGTTTTACTGCTAGTTGTGAGTCCTTATTGCTTTGAGTAGTTGTGAAAGGTTCGTTATCTTTATCATCTTTCCTTTTTTTATCAATGAGTTCTTGTGCTAATTTTGCATCTTTTTGAAGTGTTTGTATAATTACTGTTGAAATTTCTTCCATAGAAAACCCAATGACCTGAACATGTCTACTAAGATTAGAAATCTCTAGAAGTGAAGAGGAGGCATAGCTACGAGAAGTGACAATTACTGAGCATTCATACAACTGCTTTCTACGAATTATACTAGCAGCTAATGAAGACTGTCTGAGTTGTTCACTTAGTTCATCCCAACCATCAAAGATTATCAGTAATCCTTCTCCATCTCTATCCAAAAACCAATCAACTGCTTTTGAAACTTTAAAACTTTTATACTCAAACAGGTCGGCTAGGGTAGAAGCCGTAGCTACCTTCCTATTTCTTAAAGGACAGTAAAGTACTAAGTTATACTGTTGGTGTACAAGAGTTTCATTTGACCACATGTTTAACAGTTTACGACAAAGTGTTGTCTTGCCAATACCAGGAGGACCATCTATTACTACTCTGAGAGACAGAGAACTTTCTGTGGGTTGGAGAACATCTTCGACACTTATCTCTTTGTTTTCAGTTAGTTTAACTGTTTTATCAACTTGTCCCCTTAGCAGATGCCAAGCTGATTCTGCTTGTGTACTGGAGTCTTGTTTTTCTACTAGTGCTAGTCTTCCAAAATAATCTTTTCCAATTCTTGGTGGCCAGTCTGTAGCAACAATAGGTTGGTGCTTGTAGAGTTGTCTCATATTGTCAGCATATCCTTGAACATCATCAGGTATTGAATGAATGGGTTTAGTTACATCAGACTGACCTATTGATCAAGATACATAAAATATAATGTATACACATTAATTTTTATTATGTACCTCTTATATTAGTAACTGATGTATTGGATGTATCATCAACTTGTGATGGTAGTACAGTATGTGAACTGACATTATCAGGTATAGACTGACCTAATGATAGAGATAATCACTGATAATGTACACACAAACACACACACACTCACCTAACTGGTGTAATATAGAGGTAGCAATATCTGTTAGTGTATGATGTTGTTGGTTCATTAATACATGACATGTATTAATGAGATATTGCTCTGGAGTAAGGGATGATTCTAACTGCCGTTGCAATACGCTCATCAGTTTCATTGCTTTAGTATAATCAGTCATAATTCCCATTACAAGTACATCATCAAAAGTTTGTTGTGGTATCAATCCTTTAGCAAGTAGTTCACTTGTTATTCTGTAAAGATCGCATGAAATTCCATCAGTGAGTAGGTGAGAATGAGTCCTTAATATATCCATTGGATTACCTGCAGTAGTGTATTAGTTAATGAGGGTTGTACATTAATTATATATTTACCTGTTATTTGACCAGGATTAGATCTAGTCATGGCTTCCATATTATCATCAGAATTTTTTCCAGTAGGATTCGTTGATGTATTGCCATCATTATTAGCTCCTCCAGTAGACCATTCCATTTCATGTTCAATAGTTCTAGCTAGTTCATTCTCTTTACATTGTTTCAAAGCATTAATGACATCTCTCCATGATGCTGTAGGATTAACTTGTAGCCATTTCTTGTGTAAAGCCATTTTTTTAAGATGAGCATTTCTTTTTGTTTTATTGATTATACTGACATCAGACTGTGTTATCCCAGGAAGGCAAAGAGCAAATGGTTTCCAGTCAGCAAGTGGCTTAAGACACTTCGCAAGTAAGAGACAAGATGGTTGATCATCTATCATAGGACCAGGATTGAGTTCAACATCTCCTGATAAGAGGAGGAGAAGTAAAACCAAATAGTAGATCAGGTCAAAGCTACTGCCAATAGTAGATATAAACAAGGCTAATGACTGGAGGCAGTGGGTCATAACAGTAACACCTATTATAAATACATATTATGACAACATTAGCTATGTACATATAGACTCTTAAATTATTTACCCGTGGAAGGGGAAAAAATGAACTCCATACATCTTAATAAAGATAAAAGAAGGGAAACAGTGAAAGACAGAGCTGCTGGCAGTTTAGATGTCTTCTCTTCCGATGTAGTATGGCCTGACCTACTGTCTACTTTAGCTTTGAATGAGTGAGAGTGGTGGCCATTAGCTGGTCTACTAGAGGCAAGTTGACAGTAGCTCCACAGTCCAATACTTGCTCTCCATTGAGAGACATCAATCATCTTGAGAATAACTCAAAAAACAAAATTTTCTATGCCCTCGCTAAGTAGAGCACAAAAAAGTGGGTGTATTTTGTGACTATACTAGACTATTATCAAGTATTCATCATTGTCATATGAGAATCCTCTGAAGCGTATCAGTGACCAAATGTTTGTACTTCCTACTGCAGCTGTTATTGTTCTTATGACTAAATTTGGTCATTTCCCTGTATGACTAATATTAAATTGTATAATGATGTCAATACATAGAACTACCTTATCATTATTATAAAAAATTGCATTTTATGAGTTAATACACACAAGTTGAAGAGTACTCATGACCACATTCATTGTCCTCAAGAAATAATTATTAACTTCTTCTTTATCACTCACTTTCTCTCTTCCCTGAGTTCCCTCTAACTCTTTAATTCCTGCACTCATTCATTTATCCCTTACTCACTCCTCTCTCCCTCTCTCTCCCTCACCCTCACCCTTACCCTCACCATCCCCCTTCGCCCTCCCCCTCCTTCCTCTCCCTCTCTCTCCTTCACAATAAACTGAACAACATTTTAAATGTACAATAAATACATATGACGTGAAAAATGTGATACAACTTCTCATCAGTACCCCCTCATTTTACATGTAATTGATACAGACTCAATAGCAACTTCCAAAAATAAATTTTTGCTCAAAATGTCCAATGTGACACCAATACTAATTAGAGTGTACAACTACATTACGTATCAGGTAAAAGTAGTCGTAGCGTTCCAGCTGGGAGCTACCACATATTTCTATTTATTTAGTACGCAAAAGATAACCAAACTACCATGCTAAACTAGACTCTTATAATTAGAAAATCTCTTTTTCTACTTGTAGGTAGCTAAAGCTAAAACATGCATGAGAACAAGGCCACAGGCTCTCTAAATAAGTTTGTGCATGTGGCAAGTGACAAGCAATAAAGCCTCAAAATAAAATTTACTGCTTACATGTATCTTGTCTGACAAGCATGTATTTATGACTTCAATTCTAACTATGCAGCAAAAATTAATGGATAAAAGTAAAGTATCAGACACAGTAAAAAGTAATAAATTGACAATCAAACTTGTATAGTCAGCGTAAAGAAATAAGTCAACTACTAGGAGACTGAATCAGTCGTATGTTCATTCAAACTTTTGCAGTTTTAAGATAAATACCATCTATTAGATATTGCAAAGCAGCTACTACCGTTTTCAACAGTACCTACATGCAAAAATTAAAAATTAATACTCCCATGATTGTGATCAGCTAACTTGAGTATCAGGTGATCTTTCAAACCTATACTTCCTCAATATACTCACTAAGCAAGCCTTAGCCTCCATTAGTGCAAACCTCATTCCAATACAACTCCTTGGTCCTGAACCAAAAGGAATGTAAGCCTGAGGATTCCTACCCTCCTTGCCTTCTGGACTAAACCTGTACATCAAGAGGAATCATTAATGATTAGTTTTTTAAATGGATCTAACCGTTTTGGATTGAAAACTTCAGGCTGGTCCCAATACTCTGGTGACGTATATATCTTCATTTCGGACAAGGAGAGGATTTCAATGTAGTGCAATGTCCATCATATTTTGGCAGCTATTGTGTATTTTAGGTTATGTATATAACAGTGGGCAGGTTTATTACATTTTGTTAACTTCCCCAAATACCTTCCCACTTTTAGCAAGCCATTTCTCTTGAAAATCAGTTGAAGACTAAAGCAAAATTTAACCATAATTTGTTTATAATTGCTAATAATTATAATTACCGTTTTAAAAATTTCTATTCCATTTCCCATTAAAGGCGTAACTGGAGGATGAGGGATTCCCAGCCTCCTAAGTACACTATATGCATGGTACAAACTATGAGTAAACAACATCACTGAAGTGTTTAATATGGTTAAATGTAATTCTCACCGATAGCAACAATAAACAACTGAGTAGCAGAGTAATTAAAAGTAGCAGTATGCCACAAGAAAGCTCATCATTCTACTTACAGCTAGACTCTTCTCATGAGCTCTCACCGGTCAATAAATGCCAGTACTGCTCTAGTAGCTCAGCTAGTAGTCGTTGATGCTAGTGATATGATCTTCATCACTTAATTTCCCCCACAGGCCCCCTCCTACTGCATTAGAATAGCTCGAGCCACGTTATTGTGCTATGTGATCTTTCTTGCTGGCAGAGAGGTTTTTGAATAGCAGTTTAATCTTATTTTGCTAACCTTTCCTGCAAATGAGCACAGGCAATGACAGGCTTGCTGATACATGTGATAGCGAGCTGATATAGGCACCATTTTTATTTCATTGTGACCACACCCGTTACCCACTTGTAATGAAAATTAGGCTATTTAACTTTAATAATAGTTTTAAAATTATAATACTACCATCATGTAAACAGACAATGTTAGTCTTTATTTGCAGCATGAATGTTGGCAGTGCCTGCATCACTAGATTTAGATTATCAACGTGTAATCTATGTGCTTTGAACCATATGTAAATGAAAATTACATAATTCTAGAACTAAAACATAATACTGAGTTTTTAATAAAAATGCCTCAAAATTAATGAATACATTCACTGCATTAATCATAACATTGAAAAACTACACAGCAAAAATGGCATTAAAAAGTTTAGCCTAAACAAAAAGTCAGTACAATTCAAAGAATTAAGAAAAAAGTCAACTACGAGGAGATTGCATCATTAGTGAAACTATATTAAACTTTTGCAATTTTAAGATAAATACCATCTTTAGGAAATTGTGTAAAGCCTAGAACCATTTTCAATGGTACCTACAACAATTAGATAAAATTAAGAATTAATAATCTATGAATGATTGTGATCAGCTAACCTGAGTATCAGGTGATCTTTCAAACCTATACTTCCTCAATATACTCACTAAGCAAGCCTTAGCCTCCATTAGTGCAAACCTCATTCCAATACAACTCCTTGGTCCTGAACCAAAAGGAATGTAAGCCTGAGGATTCCTACCCTCGTTGCCTTCTGGGCTAAACCTGTACATCAAGAGGAATTATTAATTATTAATTTTTGATGGAGCAGATCTAACCGTTTTGGATTGAAAACTTCGGCTGGTCCCAATACTCTGGTGACATGTGTATCTTTAGTATTGGAATAATAATTCTACATCCTTCAGGGGTTGTGACACCATTCATTGTACATGTCTCGTTACACAAACGAACCATACTAAAAAGTAAATAAAAGTAAAAATGGGCTATAGTACTCAATTACGTTGGTGCTGGTGGATATATACGCAGTGTCTCCTGAATGACCCAATCAAGATAAGGAATGCTTTGTGAAGCATCATACAAAGAAGGATTCTATAAATACAGTACAATAATAATAATAATAATAACTTTTTTCAATATACTTCATTTTCCTGATAGTAGTCATCAATGGCTTGACACAGTTCTTCTTGCTCTTGAGGGTTTATTGCTAAAAGATATGAAGTGAAGGCCAGCAAGCTACTAGTTGTCTCTTGGCCAGCAAGCATAAAATCTAAGCAGAGACCAACAATCTGTTTGTCAGTTAGTACACATGAAGCCTTAATGCTAGACTCATTCTCTGGGTCATCTGGTGCTTCAGCATCCATTAATAATTGAAGAAAATCTTCTCTCTAAAAAATATACAAGATACATCATGTTATGGTTAAATCACTCCAACAAAGCAAAGAAAACTTTTTCTATTCAATGGAACACTTATAATTATTAGTACTATTTCCAACAAGTTGATGGCAATTGAGGGGTAAGTGGTACAGCAAGTGTCAGTAAAAGATCTTGATGCTCAAGATACAGACCTTGTTACCATTGTGGCTTTGTTCCACTTGTTGTTCTCTTCTTGATTTTATGATACTCAATGAGGTATCATTGATAACCTTCATGTGTCTCCCTAATGGTAGGATCCTTGCACCAATGACACTTAGTAATCTCAGCAAAGTAGGGAAGTAACCTATGGTCACCAAAATGTAATCAGTGCATATTAATCCAACAATACTTACTGTCAATAATTTCATGCCAAATGAGGAATGATTCATTTAAATCAGTGAAAAATCCATTAGCTGCTTCTGAAAGTGCACTTCCCTCACCTTTTAATACATTTACTTCAGAACCAAAAGCTACTGCAAGAATTGTTTCCAAAGTAAACTGGGCATAAATTCTGAATAATTAATTTAAAATAATTTTATAAATGTCTCAATTGCTTTACTTGTGTACGTTGACACTTTGTCCCTTTTTATTAATATCTTCCAATACACTGCATAGACAATTGATGCTTTTATCAACTAGTGGCATCATCTGTCATAAAAACATGTTAATTTGGTTTTGATGATAAAGCACATTATAAGACTAACCAGCTTAAGTTTTTTTGCTTGAAAAAGTTGGAGTAACTATACGACGGACACGCTTCCACTCCTCACCTTGCTCAAAAAGCAATCCTGGTCCCATGTTGTTATTCTTACGTATTTCAATCATTAGATGAGGCTGTCTCTATAAACACAGTATATCATAAGTACAGGTACATGCATTGTAAATTAAAATTCCTTTTAGTGTACTCACATCTGTATTGACGAATTTGTTGGACTGCTTTACCATGATCTCCTTGAGTATGTCAAGATCAGCTACTACAATGTCTATGTTTGTACCCAAATAATAACTAGAAATAAATTAATAATAAAATCAATGATATTTCTTGTATAAGCCTTTTTGCCACCCCCTCTTTGTAGCATTATACACCATCAAGGATACATAATCATGTACTCATGATATTATATAGCGGGTTTTTTCGAGGATAACAAGTTTCGTAAATTTTGCAGATTTTTCAGTTAAGATTCGTGAAATTAAATTCCTTGAAAATCAATTTAATACGATACAAGATGCTAGAGTAGTGGAAATTTGCAAAAATTAATTTCATGAACCTCCAGGGCGCAAAACAGCTAGGTCATTTGTCAAAATTATCCTCAACAATTCCACTCCGTTTTGGCCCGGTAAATTGGGAAAGGAGGGCCATGATTTATTTGATAACCATTATAGTGACACAATCTGTTATTATTATAAAGTACACAGCTTATGTGCAAATGTGCACAAAATAGGTTTCAACTTACCCAAATAGTTTCCACTTTTAGCAAGCCATTTCTCTTGAAAATCAGTAGAAGACTATAGAAAATTTAGTAATAGTCAATCAGATAATTGCTTAATAATAAATTATTATTATTACCATTTTTAAAAGTTCTATTTAATAAAAGGCATAACTGGAGGATGAGGGATTCCAAGCCTCTTAAGGACACCATATGCATGATACAAACTATGAGCAAACAAGCAACGCTGAAGTGTATATGGGACCTAATACTCACAGAGCAACAATAAACAAGTAGCAGACTAAGCAGAGTAATGAAAAGTAGCAGTATGCCAAGAAAGCTCATTTTTGGGAGTCAGTAGAGAATCAGTCCACTAAAACAGACTCCCGCAGTTCTCTGGGCTCTCTAGGTGCTAACCAGACCTGACTGGCCTATAGCTAGTGGCTAGTCCGTCGCTATATAGATCATTCGGCTTGAGTTGCGGAGAGTTCAGAGTTGATCATATGACCTTCATGTGAGTTCTACTGTTTCCCTTCGGTCCACTCCTACTGCATACTGTTCATAGAAGACTGTGAAATTGCATCAGCATAAATTTACACTCAGCAGTTTATCATAAACATGCTAGACTGCTGAGCCTGTAAATTTTCAACCCTCGTTTTCAACCCAGAGGAGGTTCTGCAGGGTGGGTCAAAAAGTCACTTAATTAGCATCACGTGAGCCTTTATTAGAAATCATATGAAATTGGACACTGATTCCTCCACATGCATGACATGGTTTTCAAAAGCATTTTAAGGAACTTGACCTTATTATTGTCCATGTAGACTACCCCACTTAATTTATTCTTAGCAATGCGCTTCATTTGATGTACAGGAGGGCTAATGGATATTGGATAAGACTTTAGGAACTGTAGTGTAACTAAGTGAGACGAAGAGTATTAAAAAGCAAGGGAGTTAGATTGAATGGCGAGGTGAAAGAGATAGCTAATAATGTTTACAAGTATTTTAAAGACTACAAGTAAGGGAAAGGGAGCATTTCAGAGGATACTAGACTACTAGAGGCAACTGGTAAGCATTACAATAAACAGACTATAGTGGAATAGTATACATGATTGGAATTGGAATAAATTTATTGGACTGCTTTACCGTGATCTCCTTGAGTATGTCAAGATTAGCTACTACAATGTCTACCTTTGTGCCAATATAATAACTAGAAAGAAATTAATTATACAATCAAGATGTACTTTATAACCCTTTTTGCCACCCCTCTTTGTAGCATTACTCAAGCCTACTTGCCATTTTGCCACCCCTTCTTGGTAAATTGCAATGTGCGGACCAATGCCCATGCTTGCAGCAGGATTATAGCTGTAATACATACGTGTATATTGCTTGCAATAGCTATTATAGTACATGTATCACAATTATGTGCACATTTGTGTAGGCTATGTACTTCTTATGACAGATAGGTTTCAACTCACCCAAATACCTTTCGACTTTTAGCAAGCTAACTCTCTTGAAAATCAGTAGAAGGCTATATTAAAGTTTAGTAATAGTTTATTAGATAATTGCTTAATAATTATTACCATTTTAAAAAGTTCTATTCCATTTCCCATAAAAGGCATAACTATATAGAGGATGAGGGATTCCAAGCCACTTAAGGATACAATATGATACAAACAAAAGTAGAAGTATGCCAAAAAAGCTCATCATTTTAGGAGTTAAGAATCAGGCTATCTAGTCCACTATAATACAAACCTGCATGTCTGGCAGACTTTCGTTATAGGCTCTGAGCTCTCTAGGTACCAACCAGTGTGAGCCAGACTGCTAAAGTAGTTGGTAGTCCGTTGCTATATCTCATTCTGTTTCAGCTTGAGAGTTCAGAATTGAGAGACCATTTGACCTTCATGTAAGTCATATGACAAGTTGAATAATAGACTCGGTGCACTCCGCATGCATGCATACTGAGACTAGACTAAATCTATAGCTTCAATGAGCATGTGAAATTGCATCATTCTAACTGACCACTATAGACTAATTACTTTTTGACAAAATGGTTTTAAAACTGATATAAGGCCTAGATACATTGAATACAGTGATATAACAACAATCTTGATATGACGTGCAGTGTGAATTAATTTTATGCAGTCTAATAATAAACCTATTGATCTGTTCATGGGCATTCCGTACATGCATAGTAGACCATCACTCTTCTCATGCATGCATAAACTGAAGATGTAAACATGATAGAACTGCTGTTGATCTTGAAAACAATTTGTCTGCATGTACATGTCATATTAATGTAAAATTTATATAAAAACAAAACAACTAAACAATCAATACATTGCCATTTCAAAAAGCACAACCATTTTCAAAAAGAAATAAATGACCGTACTAGCATGCAAAAATCAAAAGAATAAAACACACAACTTTTATTCTGTGACTAATTTTGTCAGTCATCTTAAGAGGGGATGTCTATGTCTCTGTTATATTGTTCCTCTTGTTCCATGTATCTCTGATAATGATCATCAACTATCTGAATAATATTAACTTCATTCTCTCTCACACGATACTTGTAACGTTTAGCCAGTATCACAAACACTATCAGTATGATAAGAACTAGTACACTCTTTGTTATATAATAATAGAAACTAGTACATATGTACTGACTCTCACAATCAAATGGAAACTTGAGAGTGGTATTAATGAGAAAATCAATTCCCCAAGTAGTAGCATACCACAATCCAACCATCACTCCTCTCATGTGTACTGGAGACTGAGCTACTGTAAACTCCAGTGATACTGTATACATAAAAATAAAAGAGAAACCTTGAATTGTTTGTGGAATAAAAAGAAATTTAGCAAAGTTGTTTATGTCAGGATGAAACCTATCAATGGCAAAAATGGTCACTTTAGAAACTGTAACAATAAAAGCAAGGAAGATACCAACACTCATTCTAGTTAGCATACTGGGAATATACTTGTAGAAACAAAATCTGATAAAGAATAAATAAATTAACATTAGAATGACCGAGCAGAAATAATACTGAGAGTCTGTTACTGCTAAGCAAGTTGGTAATGTAAAACTTTCCACAGCAGACCAATAGGTATCATCACTGAGAATAATTGCAATAAAACCAATGAATAATGGTAGCATACGAAATACTGTCTTCACA